TGTGTGTGTCATTTGCTAGGTCAGTTGGTTTTGTTGAGACAGTTCAGTTTGCTGTATTTTGAGTTTCCTTATCTTTTGTTGACCTCTTTTAGGGCCCAGTTTATCTGATGTTAATTTTGTATTTTTCTTGCTTTTGGGTTAATAAAAACCCTTTATTTTGAACTTTGGAAGCTGTGTCTTTTTGCCTTACTGCTTGGTCCCTGACACCAGCACAATAGCACTTTAAACTATGACCTCAATAATAAATGTATAATTGAATTTATACATTTATGATAATTTCATTAAAACCTGAAACACTTTGGCTTCATAAACACAAATGTTAAGGCAGAAGTGCTGCACTGAAGAGCATACAAGTGTACCTAGTAAGGTTCCCAGTGACTGTACAGTGTGTGGGGTATATTAGGCAGCAAGTGAATGTTCAGCTGTCGAAGTTGATGCGTTAGAAGCAGGAAAAATAATAATGATCTGAGTGACTCTGACAAGGGGCAAACTGTGATGGCTGACGACTGGGTCAGAGCATCTCCCAGACTGCAACTCATGTTGGGTGTTCCTGTCTGCGGTGGTTAGTACCTACCAACAATAGATTAAGGAAGGATAAACAGTGAACTGGTGACAGAATCATGGACGCCCAAGGCTCACTGATGATCAGGTTGAACTGCTGTAGATTAAAATTTTAAATTTCATGAATCATTTTCAAAAGATTCCATTTTGTTTGAACCTTTGTTAAAAATAAGAAATACTGTACACTGGTCTCTATTAAGAGAAACATTCGGCAGCTATAGTGGTGATATCACACCTAAAGTGGGGAGGCTGAATTTGTCTAATACACTGCTCAAAAAAATAAAGGGAACACTTAAACAACACAATGTAACTACAAGTCAATCACACTTCTGTGAAATCAAACTGTCCACTTAGGTAGCAACACTGATTGACAATCAATTCCACATGCTGTTGTGCAAATGGAATAGACAACAGGTGGAAAGCATAGGCAGTTAGCAAGACATCCCCAATAAAGGAGTGGTTCTGCAGGTGGTGACCACAGACCACTTCTCAGTTCCTATGCTTTCTGGCTGATGGTTTGGTCACTTTTGAATGCTGGCGGTGCTTTCACTCTAGTGGTAGCATGAGACGGAGTCTACAACCCACACAAGTGGCTCAGGTAGTGCAGCTCATCCAGGATGGCACATCAATGCGAGCTGTGGCAAGAAGGTTTGCTGTGTCTGTCAGCGTAGTGTCCAGAGCATGGAGGCGCTACCAGGAGACAGGCCAGTACATCAGGAGATGTGGAGGAGGCCGTAGGAGGGCAACAACCCAGCATCAGGACCGCTCCCTCCACCTTTGTGCAAGGAGGGACAGGAGGAGCACTGCCAGAGCCCTGCAAAATGACCTCCAGCGGGCCACAAATCTGCATGTGTCTGCTCAAACGGTCAG